ACCAAGGACCTGCTCGCTGAGAGGCAGCAGCTCTACCAGTTGTGCCACCGTGCTGCCACAATCTGTGTCCTCATTTACCCATTCACACAGTACTCTGCTACATCTCTACAAAGCTAATTGAACAAATCATTCTAAAGAGATTAATCAATGCTTTAGATCACATTCATACACCGATCAGACACACATCGGAGGCAATGGGAGGAGACCCCAGGGAAGACCCAGGACATGCTGGGGAGACTAGGTCTCTCGGTTGGCCTGGGAACATGCTGGAGTCCTCCCAGAAGAACTGGAAGAGGTGGCTGTGGAAAGAGATGTCTGGACCTCTCTGCTCAAGCTGCTGTGCCTGCGACCCGACTTTGGAATGAGCAAAAGATAATGGACAGATGGATGGATGGATGGGTGGGTGGGTGGATGTATGGATGAGTGGATGGATGGGTGGAGACCCATTTGGGTAACATTTTTGTAGAGTTATCTCTTGATGAGCTTAATTATTGGACAGGCATGATATAAGAAAAATTATGAAGCTTATGGTGGTCAGTGACTTCACAGAGTTGTGTCAGAATAAAGACAGAGGATTTTAACCTGTAAAAATCTACTGCAGTCAAACAGTAAGCTGACAGGTGTAATCTGTTTCACACAATTTCCTTATTCTGGTAAACATATTGTAATGTAGCACTGCTCAGACCGTTGTCTTGTGATTGACAGCACGTTACAGCTTACAGTGACCACAGTGGGTCCAGTCAGGTCTAAACCAATCAGAACCAACAAAGAGGAACTCATCATGCAGCGTCTTGGTAATCCCATCTGGATGAAAATCACTGACTAAATGGAAAAAAAAAGTATTCTGATAAATAATTATAAAAAAAAATGTATAATAAAAATGAACAAAAAGCCTTATATGCATTAGCATTACAATGAGAAAAGATAAAATAACTGTATTGCTCCCCATCTAGGAAAATGTAAATGTTATACAACCATCAATATAACATAGACAATAAAAAAGAAAAAAAAAATGCTAACATAGCAATCATGAAAAAAATTCAGATGAAAAACAAAACTGTAAAAACACAGGAACACTATAAACCGTATATTAATGTTAAATATGTATTTTACACGTTCATGTTTTAAGAGAAGATTTTTACAGTTTGGTTGTAAATCTCACTGCTTAAAAAAAGCCTAAAAATACATCATAATAATAATAATAATAATAATAATAATAATAATAATAATAATAATAATAATTATTATTATTATTATTGTCATTATTATTATTATTATTATTATTATTATTATTATTATTATCATTATTATTATTATTATTATTGGTCAGCATCCCCATCTCACCCACTTCTTAATGGACTTGGGGCAGCTGTGGCTGAGTGGTTAGAGCAGTCGTCCTCCAATGCGAGAGTTGGGGGTCCGAATCCACAAGCAGTCACATGCTGAAGTGTCCCTGGGCAAGACACTGAACCCCTCATTGCCTCCGATGTGTGTCCCATCAGTGTATGAATGTGATAAAGCTCTGATTAGTCTCATTAGAATGATTTGTTCAATTAGCTTTGTAGAGATCTAGTATAGAGCTGTATGAATGGGTAAATGAGACACAGATTGTAGTGTAAAGCACTTTGAGTGTCTTGAAATAAGATAGAAAGGTGCTGTATAAGTACAGTCCATTTACCATTTACTTCAAAGCCCTCCTGATCCTTGAGTCTTTTTATGTTTTAACTCTTACAATTAACACTGTCTGTTAGCAAAATATCACAAGAACAACTTTACAGGTTTGACTAAAACAGGTAATTGGCTATAGATCTAAATTCCAATGACCTTTGGAGTCAGATGGCCTTTAGCCAACACAAGCATGTTTTACAGATACTGAGCTGAGAGGCATTCACAGCACACACTTTCAATCACAAGATCTCAAGATAATGCATGACATCATGCATGACATCATTTTGAAGGTTTGAACAAACAGCTACAACTCCATCTTTTAATATTGAAAGGTGATCTTAGTTTAAAACCCTGGCATGAAATGGCAATATACAGTCTTTCAAGGAATGCTTAGTCTTTAAATTTTATGTTAAGATTTTATCTGATGTAAACTAAACTTTGTATGATATTCACTAAATGAAAAGGGCTTTATAAATAAAACTGGATTGATTGATTGATTCATTTCAGGTGTGTTTTATCCATTACAGAGATTAAGCTGCCCATAAAGTGAAATGCACACATTCTGTTTTCATAAAACACGTGCACATCTTCTTCTAAGAGTAAACATTTATCCATGCTGGTCATCAGCTTGAAAGCACCAGCAGGATATATCCATCAGTTTCTTGACACGTGTTGCCAATAGCTGTTTCCCTCCACAGACCACAAGTCTTTTTCTTGGCATGTGCAAACTCCTTACCATGCTCCATTTCCTCTGCACACCCTCAGCTCAGACAGAACATGCAGACCCCGCCACACCCTGCAGGCTAATTCAGGATAAAATGCTCGGAGACACATGAAGAATGTCCTATAGCTGACAACAACAACAATGCCAGTGCTAGCTAGTATTTCAGTCCACTGTTCTACCCCCTGTTGTTGCGGTGCAGACAGAGGAAAACCACACAGTTGCATACATAAAAACACAAATCCAGATTAAGATATAGAAACAGGACTATGGTCTGTCTGGTACCTCCACCACTCCTCTGTCTCTCCAGGCAGAAAATACACAAACACACAGATGTTGGAATGTAGCCGCCTCATTCTAAATGTCTCAGACGGTTCAGAAAAAAGGCAGCTATCCAAATGAGACCAGAAAGATTTTCAAGACTCTCTTACTGTCCTGGAGTACTGACTGACCATACCATAGCATACCACTTTATTTATAAAGTACTTAAAAACAGCAGCAAGGTCAACCAAAGTGCTGTACAACAAAACAAATAAATGCAAACTCATTTGTGCATGCACAGAATGCATTTTGTTGGGAGATCCAGCTGCTGAATGCATCAGTATGCCGGGAGTAGAGTAAACCTGTGGACTGATGATGCACTGATCAGATGCACTGATACATCAGTACAATCACTGTCTACACAGCTTATCTATGCTTCAGACTTAGACAGACATTATTCAACAGAGAAAATGGCAACAAATTAAGCAAGCAGTGTCATGAAAAAGTGTAAAGCTTAAATACTGGATAATGTGGTGTTCTAGTGATACATCAGTTTTGCAAAAGAGTTGTTTTATAAGCCTGAGATCAATCAAACACCCTCATCTGACTGGTCATTTGGCCTGGAGGAAGACTTCTGCCTTTTCTCTGCACTCCGTGCTCTGTGACTGATGTCACTGCTGAAAAGGTACAAACTACCGACAACTATTTGACAGAACATCACTTCCAAAATGACCAGAATATCCCTTTAAGTGTAGACTCTCTCAAGCACTGCTCAGTCCATGCACAGGCAGTGAAACAGGTACAGTAACTGCTTCAAACTCTCCCTCCTCCATAATTTCTGCCCAAAGAAGGACAAGAACAGGGCTCTTATTGTCTCCCTCACACATCAGACATTCCTCAGATTCCGGCTGCAGAGACCTGGAGCTGAGAGGTTCAGTCTGAAAGACAAGACCATCAGGCTCCCCGCTGACCCCCAGACCCTCATCCACCAACAGGACACTGTAGACCAGTAACTTCTCACTACAGTATTGGTTTTATACAGAAAGACCCAGTTAAGAACTTCTGTGTGGAGAAGGAAGACGATGTCTTGGGACATTTTAAAAACGCCATGCTGGTTTTTAAATTGTAATGCATAGTTACTGAAATAAACAAAAGAACAATCTACTTATATTTTGCCATTGTATTTTTTTTTGTGTATAATAAATATAATGTGTGAAAAAGTTGAGGGTAAAATGTAAAAACTAAAACACCATGCAGTGGTTTGCAAATCTCATATTTTGTATATTGATGCAGGATTCAGGATCAATCCCATGTCTTTCCTGCTGAATCTTTTACGAGATGGAACATGACGTTCTAAACCCTGTATATATTTCTCTGCACTGATGGGGCCTTTCCAGCAGTGTAAACAGGCCGTTCCATAGGCATAAATGCACCCTTATACCTTCAGAGAGGCAGGCTTTAAAACTGCATGTACTGACAACAGGCTGCATGGTCCCGCTCCTCTTTAGAGAGGAGAACATGAGACGTGTGGCTCCCCACCAGAACATTCACTGTTTAATTTGTCTGACCACAGAACAGTTTTCCACTTTGCCTCAGTCCACTTCATACGAGCTTCGTCCTGAAGAAGGACACAGAGTTTCATTTGCTTCACCATTTTTAGACGTTAGTTTTGGGAGGCTGGAGAACCCCTGCCCATCTTCACTTCTAAGAGATTCTGAGTCTCTAAACTGCTAAATTCCCAGCATTTTTACTGATCTGTAGCTAATTATGCTAATTTGTTGCTAAATGCTCCTGCATCATTTTATTATTCATAATATGCTTGCAGGTGGCACGGTGGTGCAGCTGCCGTCTCTCAGAGAGCAGCTCGTCAGTGGGCCTTTCTGGGTGGAGTTTGCATGTTCTCTCCGTGCATGCGTGGGTTTTCTCCAGGTACTCCAGTTTCCTCCCACAGACCAAAAACATGCATGTTAGGCTGATTGGTAACTCTAACTTGTCTCTAGGTGTGAGTGAGAGAGTGAATGGTTGTTTGTCTCTATGTGTCCCTGTGATGGACTGGAGACCTGTCCAGGTGTCCCACGCCTCTCACACAGTTACTGCTGGACATGGACACCAGTGACCCCCCGTGACCCGAAAAGGACGAAGCGGGTAAAGATGATGGATGGGTTTTCATATTACTATTTTGTCCCCACAGACAATTTCTCAATGTCAACATCTGTCATGTTTACTAAAGTCCATTGTGAATAAAATAAGGGTTCAAACAGTCTTGTGTTTCATGGCATTGCACATCGAGTTGCTTGGAGCTGATGCTACCAGAGACGTGTTTGTAATGTGTACATCTGTGCACACTGACCTCCAACAGCTTTGCATCTTGATGTCATTTCCCACAGCACCAGGGACATGGAGTAAATGTCTGTCTGCTTGAAGGACTCGATGTTCTCCAGGTTGAGTCGGGCCTCCAGCACTTCAGGCGCCATGTAACGTGCAGTACCAACCTGCAGAAGTATGAGGAGTTGACACACGTGCACACACAGATTACACACAGAGCACTGAAAAAAACACGTTTTGTTTTAGAATCATTAAAACAAACAATTAGAAAAGAGGAGGGTGTACCATGAAACGAGTTCCCCTGCCTAACCATATACGTAAAGCTGAAAGTTAGACTTTTGCATCATGAAGAAGTACAACCTTCTTTTCAGTTAAGCAAAACTTCGCATCTTTCTAAATCCATTTTACAAACAAAATCAAGCAGAAGCGTCCTGGCTGCAGACTTTAGACCACTTGTTTCACATGAAACACCTTTTGTCACATGGCAACAGAAAATAAGACCCACGTAAACACATGTTGAGCTTATATTTAAATCTGGGACTCTCCAGCTTCCACATGTGAGTGGAAAACTTTGTGACGGCTAACCTTGGACATGTGAGTGGACATGGATCAACAAAGAATTTAATTCTGATGGAAACAACTGAGGGCAGCACGGTGGCGCAACTGGTAGAGCTGCTGCCTCTCAGCGAGCAGGTCCTTGGTTCAAACCCCGGTTCGGGGGCCTTTCTGGGTGGAGTTTGCATGTTCTCTCCGTGCATGCATCGATTTTCTCCGGGTACTCCAGTTTCCTCACAGAGACCAAAAACATGCGTGTTAGGCTGATTGGTAACTCTAAATTGTCCCTAGGTGTGAATGAGAGAGTGAATGGTTGTTTGTCTCGTTTGTCTCTATGTGGCCCTGTGATGGACTTGCGACCCATCCAGGGTGTACCCCGCCCCTCGCACAGTGATTGCTGGACATGGGCACCAGCGACCCCCGTGACCCAAAATGGAATAAGCGGGTAAAGAAAATGGATGGATGGATGGATGTTTGGTTGTGTTGGGTTAATGCATTCTGCATATCTCTAATAAACATGTTATGACTATTATCCTTTGACTACTGGCCCTCTGTCCATTTTTATTTTTTTATGAGCTCAACAAGATTTATCTCATCGAAACACACCCAAGAGAAGAGTTTATCAGAAGGAGGTACAATATATACATCAGCTCATACTTCTCTTGAAACTTCACCAATTCTGCTGGACGTTGTTGTAAACTGTTAGAATAATGATAGATGCAGATAAAAGCTTTCAAATCCCACAGTTTGAGACGAAGTGGTGCTTTTGTTGTGAAGAAGAGAGGAAGACTAAACTCAGAGAAGAAGACCAAATGGTGGATGCTGAGGAAGGTGGAAACTTTGTCCTGTGACTTTTTTTACATTCTGTTAGAGAAAAATATTCTTGCTAAGACGTTCCCAATAAAGAAAGAGACATTTTTTATTGTAAAGAATGAAAACAAAAGACTGCTAGAACACTGACCTGTCCACTGTTGGCGAGATCGTCTACAGTCAGGCTGCTGTCCAGACAAAGAGCCAGGCCCAAGTCACACAAGCAGCAGGTCAGGTTGTTCTTCACCAGGATGTTGGAGCTCTTCAGGTCTCTGTGCACTATGGGCACCTACGGGTGCAGCAAACTTAGAGTATAGTGGCAGTTTTACAATAAAAAAGCCTCAGTGCAACAGCAAATGTAGAACAAACTCTGTTGATGAACTTGTGGTTTTATGTGTTTAATACGGAGCGATGAATGAACTTCTTGTATTTTCCTCACATTTAAAGAAGCAATTTGTGACTCAGCCACTTGGTGTCACAATAGTGCAATAAACAACAAGTCCAGAAAAACTGAGTCAGACCAGAAGGAGGAACCAACAGAAACAGCTTGCATCTTGGTCAAATCTAACTCATGTCCGCAGTTTGTGAGCAGCTTTGAACTGAGGACTCGGCTGTGTTCAGGAAATCAGAACAAGTAAAGTTAAAATTTGAATTGTCCCAAAAAGAAGCTTCCTATGATCACACATGTTCAAGCGGTCATCCATGCAAACAAAAAGGAGTAACATTACTCAGAGCTGTTTTGGCTGGATAGAGCTAGCACTACAGGACCTAGCATATATAATTTACCCAGAATGAATTGCAGCATAAACAACATGGCGACGTCCGTGTGACAATATTTTATTCAATTTTATAAAAACTAAACAGCCTACAATATTTTTACTGTATTCTTTTAACGTCTAAAATAAATATTTCTCAAATAAAGTCTAATGTTACAACTAATCGTGGATCCCTTTAAGAACAAGAAGTATGAGGCACATGAGAGGATTTTTGTGCTCTTGTGAAAACATCAAAATAAATACAACATACTGTGTCTTACTAGTAGCTGAATAACTTTATTTGAACGTAATACTTGTCCTATTCAGTCCTACAAATGTTTTTTGGGGTTTAGACAGTCAGCTCTGCCATATTCTATTGCATCCAAAATTTTAAAAAGGTTTTAGGTTCAACATTTCATAGTATAAATCACTCTCCTAAGGTCAGTATCTCACTGAGCTGCAACCACTGTAGACCAGTGGGCAACTCAAGATTACAAGAAAAGATCAAATTTGAGGGTTTGCCACCAAGCGACCAGTGAGTAGTGCAGCAATGTTTTGCATGGCCTATTTTTAAGCCCATAGTATTTCAGCCGTGCACAGTATTTCCTTCCCTACCACTACCCACATTGTACACACTAGACAAAAGTCCTGTTACTTCTCAATATGTGGTGGTAAAATGTCAAGGCGCTTATAATTTTTTCTCATTCTCCTGTGTGGTGGGGAAACAATCCCCAAGTGGCATCAAGCACCCAGCTTATGCCAAGATGGTGTCGAGGCAGGGCAGCCAACTTGGGACCAGAAAGTCACATATTCAACTCCCCATCATGTCCACCTGTTGGGGTGTTGGTGAGCAAGACGTCTAATCCCTAACTGCTCCCAGGTGCTTACAAAGCTGCCCACTGCTCCACCTGGTGTATCTCAGGTGTGATGGGTTAAATACAGAGAAGTAATTTCATCATTTTATAGAAACATACCATGATGACAACAGACAGCACTTTCTTTCAACGTTCTTTCTTTTATGCTGGCATGACCCACCCTAGAAACAATGTCAGGTGGGAGTTTGGCTGGGGCGGTACACCTGTCAAACTGTAACACTGTGTACGAAACAGAGCTCAGAGAGGAACCCTCACTTAAAGCAGAATAGAACGCGACAGTTTGAGAAGGATTCTTACAAACATCTCTGCGTCTTGTTCTGCATTTGCAAGCAGTGCATATGGTGCAGCAGTTCACAAACACGCAGCTTTAAGGCTCTAAGATTGCAAAAACCCAAATGAGAAGGGTTCAACATGCCTGCACCAACTATTTTCAGAGAATGTTTGTGTTTTTAAACACGCTGAAAATCTAGGCAACACAAATGCGACTGCGACTCATGAAAGAAGACGGAGAGCCCACAGAAACATTTCCAGACATTTTGGAGGTTCCCTCACAAACGCTGTTTGCAATTGTGTGCAGTACAGTGTAGACTACTGGCTTTAAAGCTGAAAACCAGCAAGCGGAGACTAACTCAGTGATGCGTTATGTCCTTAGCCCACGGTGGAATCGTTTTGCTGCAGGTGTTCAACTTCCACAAAGTTGCACAGATATAAACAGTAGCTATACTGGGAGAGATTTCCATTGTCCACAGTGAAACGTGTGTCTCCTCCCAAAGGTTTGGTGTAGTTTCTCCTCATGAGAGGGTGTTCAGAGAAACTACTTGTCCAGCTGCTCACTCACCACCTTCCAGCTGGACTTTTACTGTTTTGAGTTCTTCATGGTGGGATGTTGCTGTTCTACTGTTCATCTCAGTAGATAAACTTGACTTACTGATGTTACAATGTCCTGTAAATGGCTTCTCTGTCTTTACTTTAAGTACCACAAATCAAAAAGTATTTGGAAACTTCATAACAGCTCAGTCAAGCTGTCACTAATGCCTTTTTGAGTTAAAAGCCTAAGTCATTCTTAAATTAATGCATATTGCGTGCTGCCTTTTATTCCAGAGTTTCACACCAAGATCATCTGATGTTGAGAAATGATGGAGTTAAAGCCATTTGAGTCAAAACGTTTAACAGTATGAATTATTTCATGCCAAATCATGGGCTGTCATGCTCAGAGTGTGTGTTGTAAATTAGAAGATTAACTTCATATCTGTAAATGACTCAGGCACAGTCATCGTGGTGCAGGCTAACCTCAACTAGCATCTTGAATTGGATTAATTCCTAAATTAATCAGTTGTAGATATCCATCTTTTGATTACTTGTGAAACATAAATATGTATAGTCACAAAGTACTACCTTAGGACGTCCACAGGGCAGCCGATCACTGTGGAGGTGGGCCACACCCTGGGCCAGGGAGCTACTCAACACTTGCAGTTCCTCCCAGCTGATGACATGATCTGTCAGGTACTCCTACAGGACAGAGATGTTCAGCTTTGCTGCATTCTTACCGTTATCCTTCAACCTGATTATAGGATCCTCTCATAATTGGGATGAACTAACCTGGAGGTTTCCATTCGGATGGAAGGCAGTGATGAGCCAGTACTGATTCTCTACCTTCCTCTCCTCAGCTGTCAGGAAGTGGAGGACGTTCTCATGTCGGAGGTCTTTATTAGAGAAGATGTCTTTCTCGTTCTTCCAGGAGGCGTACTCCTCATAGGGGAATATTTTCACAGCCACTGTTTCAAACTGATCTGAGGTGGTCTGGTTTAGTTTAGCCTTAAATACCTGAGCAAAGCGACCTTTACCCACCTGGGATATAATAATAAACATGGTTAGAGTATATGAAACACTGAGAACAACTCTTTAGTACTAGTAGTGTTCCTCACCAGCCGGTCCAGGTCTATAGGCAGAGGCTCAGTGTTGTGGTTCAGGTTGTTAGCGTGAGTCGAACTGCTGTCTGACCCATCGTCATCCATAATGGCACAGGCGTCACTGCAGTCCGGACCACTGGCTTTAGGTTTGCGCAGTTTCAATTTGTTCTCCCATTCCTGACTGAGCTGGCGTCGCCGATGAACCTGGTACCAGTAGAACATCCCAGCAACCACAACCCCTGTCCCCAGCAGTGGCAGAAGGCTGACCAGGATCACAGACATCAGAGGGCCCTCTGGAGTTGGATCGACGACTGAAACGGTGACAGAAAGGTGTAAAAACAGAGAGTTGGTTAAGACAAGGTCGATTAAAAGGAGACTAAAAGAAGACAAACAAAAACCCAAACACACAACAATGTTTGGTCTGCAGTGTGTGTTTTCTCTTTGTACTTCAGTGAAGTCCGACGTGTTTCCCGGTGCTCCGTAGCCCCCCCCCCCCCCACACACACACACTTCCCTGCTTGCCCTCTTGTCATGTGAACCCTTAAAGAGCCTCTTTTTTTCTGCATACCTCTTAATTCGAAGGTTCAGCTGGTCTCTCAACAAATTGATCAACTGCTCCCGACTGGAGTCAGGGTAAGGAGGACCCTCTTACCTCGACGGAAACAAATTGGATTCATAATGACAACAGTTTTTTTTTTTGCTGTTTGACTGGTAAATTCTGGATTGTCTACAAATTCGTGTGGATGTGTTGAAGCTCGGCAGCACTCAGACTGAATTATGTGGAGCTGCGTCAGAGAGCTGGAGCAGCTGTTGTCAGGACTGTGAACTCTCTAGCAGCACACATGAAGGTGGGAATAATCTTGGAGAAGCTGTGAGCTCGACTTTAAGGAATCAATTCAGCTGTTTGGAGTTTCCATCAAAGGAATATATACCAGCGAGAGACTTTAAAAGGCAGAAATAGCAATTCACGAGTTCTGCCTGACCCAAACTGTGGCCTTGACTCCGAACATATCTCAACTCCTCCTGGAATGTTTTGAAAACAACAAAGATGCTTTGTCTGTCTCCTCAACTCTCCCTTCCCCAATGCTGTGGACGTGACAGACCCTCAACTGAGCTGATGATGAATAACATCTCTTATCTGGACAACGGCTGTGTGTGTGTGTGTGTGTGTGTGTGTGTGTGTGTGTGGGGGGGGGGGGGCTCTGGACTATGTTACGACTTTCCTTTAAAAATTCAATGTCTTCACCGGCCTATATGTAAATGCATCATGTCTTTTTATGTTGCTTTGCTGTGGTAGGTTTTTTGATGCCTCAAATCGTGTCCTGTCTAGGACACAGCGTGAGAGATCTTTTTTTATACTGTCTCTCATTGTGTCTTCTCCTCTTTTCTCATCTAAGCAAAATATAATTCTGAATAAGAATAAGAGGGCCGGGCTTTCATAGTAGCAGCTTCGTGCACTCTGCCCATCTTTCAGACGACTGTACATACATGTTCTTGTTGTATCTCGGTGCAATGATAATAAAGTTTATTCTGATTCCATAGGGGTAGGTGGTCACACCTAAAAATGTATTTACTCCACAAAGTAGTTCCCCCTAATAAAAAATGTAGATTACTTACTGAGCTTCCTGTGAATTGTTTTGTTCTGTGTATTTTTCATCTATTTTGACAACTTTAAATGGAATTTAAAAATATTTTTAGTAATTCATTTTCAGTTTTTTACTTTTGTTATGGGGTGCTACCACTGAGTGACCCACGCTCATCAAGCGGATCGGAACATGTCCAGTGGTCCAAACAGCCAACTCCAACAGAGTCTCATGTGGGGCGTCAGATTCTGTGCCCCGGACACACTCGGATGGTTTTAGCACATTGATGGAACCAGCGACACTTGACTTGACGTGAACTCAAATGCAGGAAAAGCTGCAGCAAAACCTTCTGTGTTGTGAAGATATTCTGTTTAATCCATGTGGAGCAGACAGAGGGGACAAGTACAGAAAACTGACGAGGATGGACAAAGAGTGGGACATTTGTGCCAACATGGATCTTAATTAATGAGCTCTGTGGTGACACGTGTTTGAACATTATTTTAACTGGTGATGATGTATTCAAACATCATTTCTTTTTTTTATAAAAGTGACAAATCTTTTACAGATCCAAACTATTTGGAGTGTGAATGTTCAACAATCCTCTCTCTCTCTCTCTCATGTGTCAGACAGTCGCATGTTGTCTTTTTAATTTAGTCATGCACTGAAACAGACTCATTTGACCTGTTTCAGGTGGGGGTGGATGTGTATGCAGGAGACATCCGTTTTTCTGATTTCTTAGATGGGACTGTTTTTCACGAGATACAGAAAATTTAACACAATTTGCAAAATGTTTGCAATTAGTGAGTCAGAAAATTATTGTCAGTCCCATTAATATTTTTGCTCAGGAGCCACGAGGCGCTCTCTGTCAACATGATCAGAGAAGAAATGGAGATCCAGTTTGCAGTTTTGCTGGGCGGGTCATCCAGTGACATATCTCCACTGCTTACGTCAAAATCATCACCTTGGTGCAGTTCGCTTGGAACCACAGACAAAGTGGTCCCATAAACTGTGCTGAGTGGGGGTGGGTACCAGTAGTGGGCAGGCCCTTAACTGGTGTGGTGTGGAACCGATGAGAGTTGAGACAGTGCCAATGTGCCATAAGCCCAAGGTCCTTGTTTTCAACTGGAAAAAGGTTGGATGTTCCCTGCCAGGCGAGGGTGGGTCTCTGCTTCAAGCGGAGGAGTTCAAGGATCTGTGAAACTTTTTTAATAAGTAGCATAAGATGGAGGGGGAGATGAATTGATGAAACAGGGTTTTGTAGTAATGAACGTGTTGCTGCTATGTGTCTTGGTAAGGACGGAGCTAAACTAAAAGGCAAGACTCAGTTTAAGTGTCCATCTTCATTTCAACCCTCACCTAAGGTCATGAGGTATAGATCATGACTAAAAGAATGAGCTCTTAATTACAAAAGACCAAACAATATTCCTTTGTAGTGTGTCCAGGATCTGCCTTGGAGCTAAGTCAAGGAGCTCCATTATCCAGGAGGAGCTCAGAGTAGATCTACTGATCTTTCTCATTGAAAGAGTCAACTGAGGTGGTTGAGGCTTATGATTAGGACGCCTCCTGGGCACCTCCCTGTGGAGGTTTTCAAGAAATGTCCCACTTGAAGGAGACCTTGGGGCATAAACAGATATTGCTGGAAAAATTCTGTGTCCACAATGGAGGATCTGGAGAGGGTCATTGAGGAGAGGACTGTATGGATTTTTTTTTTCATGGACCTGTTACCTTCACTGAGCAATCACAATTAAGCAGAGAAGATGGATGAATGGATGAATGGATGAATGGATGGATGGATGGATGGATGGATGGATGGATGGATGGATGGATGGATGGATGGATGGATGGATGGATGGATGGAT